TACATGGACTGATCATAAATATTTCATCATTCATACAAAAGAAGAAATTTTTTAAAAATTATGGAAAAATAACAAAATTTAACAAAAAACACCGACACAAAGCAAAATTTCTCACAAACGTAATTCATTCATTTATTCATGAATATGTTTTACCTCGTCTCCTGTTATAATTCCTGGCTGCGTGTGGAATAAAGACAAATCAAAGCAGAGGATGTTTTATAAATGTTGCATAATAAATCTGAAGCAGAGAAAGTGCCAGGTGCTTCATGACAATGATGGTCCACAGACAGCCTGCCCACCCTTCATTTGGTTCATCAGCAGTGAATCATAATCAGCTGGCTGCTGTTCCCACACTCGTATCAGTTCCATCATGTARTAACAGTGGATTTGCCTTTTTTTCATATTTGTACTTTTGAATATGTAATTTACAAAAAGAAAACCTTAAGAATTTAAAACAACAGCATGTTTCATCATCAAAGGAGATGAAGGTTGAAGCAAAAAAAAAGACAGAACATCCAAGTTAGGTAAAAAGGAAGCTCATATTTAGTCCCAAAGGATTTATTTTCACCAAACACGCACRAGTGGCAAAAACCGAAGGAAAAAACACTCAACACCAATAAAGCTATAATTTTTTATAACGTGATGCGTCCCCTGATCAGTGCAGCTGATCAATTTTCTCAGTTTGACAGACAAATTGCAAAAATTWAATTGTATATTCACAGACAATACGGAAAAGATGCCAATGCCGTCGAATGAATTACCTAAACAAAAAGCTTGGACAGCTTTCGGTCACATCAGTGGAATTTCTACATCGATCAAAGCGGCGAGGAGTTCGAAGCAAGCCCACCCTTGATGCGCCTTTWTGCCGCCAAGTGAGGTAGTCACAGAACTGAAGCGACCCACATGTGAAAAGGTAAGCCGGCTTTGTGGCTCAGTGATTTGATGAAGCGATGACATCTGGTCTGTATGATCACCACATCGCTAGTGTTTAAAAATCACGGCCTGTTTTTGCGCGCATGACTTGCAAAACTGCATTCTTGGTCAAACCGCCCCAATCTGACACTGATTCAGTCTCAGTAATTAAAACCAATTAAATCTACCCTGAATAATTTCAAGTTTGATGCTGGTATCAGTGCACCGGAGTGACTAACCTTGGAATGAGTAATGATGTTTTTTGTTTGCTTGTTTAAATAGAGACGCAAAGTCAAAGGATTCAAATGTCGGCATCATCGAAAAAATAAAAATCTGTGAGAACGTGGAAAGGGTGGAAAAAAGCTGCCAGAACACACAAGCGATAATCCTCATCTCCCTCAGTGGACTGTCCAAACCAGATGGACATTAACTCTGCCGGGCAGGTCAAAAGGAGCCAGAAACAGAGAAAATAGGAAGAGGCAGTAAAGCAGATTGAAAGAGAACACAGAGCGCTATAAAAAGATGTGTGTGAGGGAGAGAAAAATAGATAGAAGCGATGAAGAAATGAGCTGATAAAAAGCTGTGTGGGGGTGAGAGAAAATGAGTGACTGGAGGGGTGGGATCAAGAGAATGAGGAATGCAATCTGCGTATCCTTATGAGGCAGAGAGAGAGAGGGCTGGTGTGCAGCCTCTATCCGCTGGCACCATCTGTCTTAGGGCAAGATGACAGCTCCTGACCATGTGACCTTATCATGTGACCCAGCAGGCTTTTCAAGAACCTAACTGGCCTCTCCTGTTTTACACGCTGGCCAAAGTTACAAAACCACAGTCATGGACAGAGAGAGCAAATCAAAGAAAAAACGCAGAGCTGTACTCACACAACAAAATGTACAATCTTTGAGAAAGAAAAGAAAATATATATATATTAAATCTGCTCTACATCAAAGTTTTTGAAACGCTAACACTTCGGATCTTACTTTAAAGAAAGTTGAAGTATTTTTTATAAACTATTAATTAATTTTAGGAGTTCTACACCGCAAATTCTTCTTTCACACAATATTTCAGTCTGTACCCATTTTGTATCCATCATACTCTTTACAGGATCCCTGAAAGCACTTTACCCAACCAAAGGCCTTYATTCTATCTCCTGTATCTCCTTTTGTTTCCTTCGCCTCAGTGCAGCAACAAAGCAAATAAGCAGTCACGGGAAAATTGGAAAAATACCCCCCCAAAAAATTCCACAACTAGATAAAAGGGTGCAACCAAAATGACTTTGATGCAAAGCAAGAAAGGAAATGGCAGCTTTACTTTGAGGGGAACAGAGGAGCGAGCCGCTCAACACTTGCTTGGATTTGAACCACAGAAATYGAGGGAATGGTAGGTTCAGGACGCCACAAGTCGCCAACAATTAGGTGGTTGTACATCGTCCAAGCTTTTCCACCTGCTACGCTCAGCGTCCACCAGCACAGATTTACTAAAGCATACTACGATCAGGTAAATCATTCCCRCTTCACCAACGGTTCAAATGTAACTGTTCAAAATCAATGCAATATTTTTACGAACCGGAGCAATATTATCCTATAAAAGCAATGCCTTCTTGTTTAGATTAAAAAAAAAATCTAAATATTTTAACTTGTTTTTCAAAAAACACAAGTCTTAATCCCCAGTTTCAAATGTTGGCTGACCCTTGAAAGTGGTGCGCAGGTTACAATACGTACCGTTAAGGGGGAGAGGGTTCTCCCCTCCTGGGTGGGGAAACCCAAGACGACCTATACAAGAAGACAGAACAAAAAAAAATGTATCATGTTTTATATTTACAGAATTCTCGATMTTGTGCAAGGCTTTTTGTGAAGATGATATTATGAATTTAATTACTAGTAGGAAGAAGTGTTTTTTTTTTTTTTTCATTTTCGTTAGAATACAAAAAGATGCTAATGGGTTGGAAGTCGTGACTCGGAGAATCATTACAGCTTATAGTGCAGCTTCAGAAGATGACAGCCACATTAGCCAAACAACATGTAGTAGTACTACTAATACTATGTCAGAAGATTCTAACTCAGCTTTAAAGCTTGATTACTGCAGTGAAGGGGAGTGAAAGATGAACACTGCTTTCTCTTTCCTACCACTGGTTCCTTCAAAACATCCCAGATCGGTGTGCAGATCAGGTTGTTTGCTGAAAGATGATTAAACTCCAACAAGTCGAAGGTTGGTGTTTAAATAAATCAGGCTTTGTGCTTAAACTAAATAAAATCAGTAAAAAAAACAACAAATAGCAGTGTTTCCCCTACCATTTTATAT